GCTGCTTCCATGTCTTTCCAATTGTGAATAAAGCAGCAATAAACACAGGGGTGCGGGTGTCTTTTTGAATCAGTGTTTTTGTGTCTTTTGGGTAGATACCTAGGAGTGGGATTGCTGGGTTGTAGGGAAGCTCCATGTTTAGCAGTTTGAGGAAACTCCAAACAGTTTTCCATAGTGGTTGTACTAGTTTGCATTCCCACCAGCAGTGCAGGAGAGTTCCTTTTTCTCCACATCCTCGCCAACATTTGTTGTTGCTAGTTGTTTGAAGATGTGCCATTCTCACTGGGGTGAAGTGGTATCTCGTTGTGCCTTTAATTTGCATCTCCCTTATTACAAGTGATGTTGAGCATTTTTTATATGCTTGTTGGCCATCTGCATTTCCTCTTTGGAGAAGTGTCTTTTTAGCTCTTCTGCCCATTTCCCAGAGTTATTTTTAACAGGAACAATTTCCATATGTCTGGTTACGGTCATTCCAGGTGACTTGGATTAAGGTTGCTTTTTCCCACAACACAGATTTAAGGTTATGATGAGATGGTATGTAGGAAGGAGAGCTGCCTCAGTGGACTTCTAAATGCCTCTGTTTTCTGAATTTTAGTCTATGGCACATCTTCACTACTGACAAGCTTCTGGAAGCTTCTATTTAAAACTGCAAATCTGCTAGCGGGTTGGTGCCATATGCAACCTGTAATGGTGATGGGCAGGATCTAGTTACTCCGTTACCAAGGATTTGTGGTCATTAGTCTTCAGGACTATAATTTTGCTCTGTAGTTTCTTTCTTGTCCTCTTTATTTCTCCAGCAGAAGGTAGTGTTGTTACTTTCACCAACTTGGATATTTGGATATCTGAATATTTGTACTTCCTGCTATTTGCTGCTCTTTCCTGTACTATGGTTGCAAGTAGCAAGTGCTCTGCCTTCTGCCCCAGAGCCAGTTTGTCACAGGAGGCATCTCCATAAAAGGGGCGGAGCACACTGCCCAGTGGATGAGTGCCCTTTTCTGTCCCTCCTCACCCCGCCCCGCTTACATGCAGCCACCTTGAATTAAAGTCCCAATGTGCTGTGAACCAGACTTTGTCAGCTGGGGCACTACTGGGATGGAGTTAAGCAGCTGTGGGGTTTTGTTGTTGTTGTTGTTGTTTTAAGGTTTATATGTGCAGAACTGGGATACAGGCCAGAAGTGTGGGGGAGGGGTGTGAGAGGATTCACCAGAGACAGTGGGGAGCAGAACAGGCAGATGGACACTGCTTGAGGGGAGCAGCGGGCTGGTCAGGAGAGGTCTGCTGTGCCATGTGGGTCGGCTCCCTGGCTGGGGTTGGAACGTGCTGCGGTGGCTGCCGTAACTTCCAAGTGCTGAGCTTTAAGCAGCTGTCCCGCCAGGGAGGGGCTGTGCTTGGTTTTATAATCAAACACATGGCCTCAAGCTCTTTTGCTTGCACAGCCTCACTTGAAGTGGTATTTCCTTCTGTCTCTTTTTTATGTGGTTTCCCAACAGAAGAACCTTAACTGGTGGCCAGCTTTCAGGCCTCACCAGCCCCACTTGGGCAAACCCTGCTTGGCTGGGCATTTGCCACAGGGATGGGTAATATTGGGAAGCTAGTTAGGAACAGCCTTTCTTCTTTCTCTTTGCAAACCCATTCTGTTAAGAGTCTGCCGTACAGAGAGTCTACTTCCTTTGCCTTTGTGCAGTGGATGGCTGGACCCCTTTCAGAGCATGCACCACTTAGTAGTTAGGGGGCCCCTGGGCACCCCTTGGTCATGCTAACAATACAATCCCCCTAACAACTGGCCCTCCCTGGTGGCGCAGCGGGTTAAAGCACAGCACTGAGAAGCTTAAGCCACTTCCGCATGAGTTTGATTCCCGCCTGCCCCGGAGGTGACCACATGGTGCGGCAGACCTCTCCTGACCCGCCCGCTGCTCCCCTCAGCAGTGGACTTTGTCGATCTGCCTGCTCCTGGCTCT